AAGAGAGGAGGAGTGGCGGTGGGCTGGGGTGGGATCTGGTTAAAGGAGGAGGTTTTGAGATTATTTTTTTAAAAAAAACTATTATTATTATTATTCTTATTATTTTTATTATTATTATTATGATTTTGTCTTATAATTTGAGAGTTTTTTTTAAAAAAATATTTCATTCAATTGATTCAAAATGCGACACACTTGTCCAATTCAGTCATTTTAATGTCACATAAGCTCGGTCAATAGTTAGAGGGTTTAAAAAATAAAGTTTCATCGAGTTTAAGTGTTCATTTGACAAAATAATGAGTAGGAGTGTTCAACTAACAAACAAAACCAAATACAAGAGTGTCCCAGGTCATTCGGCCTTATTTTATTAAAACTTACCGTTTAATGATATGAATGTAGATTTCTTACCCAATGTATATTTAAAGAGTATTGTGATTTTCTTTTATTAGGGGAAAATAAAGTATTGTAATGATTGTATATATATATAATGGAGATAGGAGGAATGGAATGGACAAGATTCTAACTTTGGACGCAATTGTCCCGATAACATGCATTTAGAAGCGTCACCCGCGAAATGCGGCTACTTGCCTGTTTAAATTTCGATCACATAATATTTAAATATTGTGGAGAAAAAAATTATATTATATCATATATTCATTTAAAATGATTTCTCCACCACTTAGAATTTTAAGGATAACGATTTCTTTCTTTTCTTTTCATTTAGCTTCAGACTATATTTACTTTGTTACATTCTTTTTTTTTTCTTGGAAAAAGTTGCTCTTATATAAGTCTAGCACTGTATTCGGTAACTTCGAAAAATATCATGTATATAAGTGTATATCTATTTTTGAGAAATTGATAGAAATTAGGATATAATTAACAGTATACTCATGAAAAGCATAAAAATATCATTGTGCTATTGGTACAAGCTAGAGAATTCACCCGTCAAACTTAGGTTCGAATCGAATTCAGCTAGATTGATTATTTTACTATTTTTATTTTAAATTTATCTTAGAGCTCATATTTGAGCTAAAATAAATATTGGTACACCCAAAATCTTCAAATCCTCGATTCACATCTGATTGTGAGCCTACACCTTTGTTTAAGCATATGCATCATCTCTTATACAATCTCAAACTGAAAAAGAACTGTCCGGGAAGAAAACTGAGTAAAAGTTTGTCCGTATCTTTTTGTCATATTTTCTAATAATAAAATTAGTTCTTAATTTCCATGGTTTAATTCATCATTTACAAAGTCAAATAAATTTCATTTGATATCATATGTTTAATTAGAGATTGAAAATTAATATTTGAGATGCCAATAATAGTAAATAATATAAAATTTATCTCGAAACATTTCTACTGTATAATAAACTTTTGTACATTCAAAGGTTTGACAAAAGGTTCCATATATTTTAAATTAATATGAGGGAAGAGTTTACAAAAAAATCTTGGAGTCAATTTTACGAATGGTCATCTTATTTTATCCCCTATAAGGCTATTACAAAGGCCAGAGGCTGTTAATCAATTTCCCAACCCATGTACTCTGTTTTTATTTATGTGATATAGTTTGATTTGATACAAAAAAAATTAAAAACAAATATTTTTTAAAATTAGTAATTATAAATGTTGGTTTGCACGTTGTAAAATCATTTTATTAAGAGAAATACAGTAATAGTAATAGTAATTATAATTATTATATTCGAGACCATGTTCATTGACTGGAGAGGGAATTATTATTATTATTATTATATTTCTCTTAAAAAATATTCTTAAAAAAGAAATATTTGTAAAATTTGTGGTCTAAAATTACTAATTATAAATATTGGTCTGTCCGCTATAAAATCATTTTATCAAGAGAAATATAATAATTATTATTATTATTATTATAATAATAATAAATTATCACTATTATATTCGAGACCATGTTCATTGACTAGAGAGGGAACTTTTTTTTTTATTTAAAAAGAATTATTTATTAAAATGCCTCTGACCTATAATTAATTCAGCTTTAAAATAGTCTAAGAGAATAATAACTCTCATTATGAATAAATATATAGTTGAAAATTGGGTAATAGATTAAGTTACATTCAACATTAATTTTGTCAAATTGTTTATCATCACATTAAAGTAACTAAACTATGTGTGAGATGCTAAAAACTAGAAAGAGAAAGAGTTTAGGAAAAAATAATAATTGTAGGGTAAATATATGTTTAGAAGAGAGAGAACATAAGTTAGAATATGATATATATAAAAAAAAAAGAGTGGCATTGATTTGATCCGCATGATGAATGACACATTGAAGAAAATGAATCAGCTCAAATCCCTAATTGATTAATATAATAAATCAATACTTAGTAGTTGTTTTAAAACTCTCTTTTTCTATCCCCACTTGTTGCGTATAGAAATAAACACTTTTATGTGAAAAGTCAGCGACCTCCCTTTTCCTTTTCTCTCATACTAACCATCAACCCATTTTTTCTCTCTCTATCTTTGCTTTCTTCTTCTTCTTCAGAAGAAGAAGATTTTAGTGGAAATGAAAGATATTTGTTTCAATATTTTCTCATATTTTGCTTCTTTGGCCTTTTAAGTGCATGTTGTTTACGTCTGTTTGGTGCAAAACATACCAAACTAATTACTAGAGTATCAAAGTCAAATCAACAATATAATCTACTTTGCTTGCTTGAGAGATTTGTATATAGGTAAGACATGTGCAGCTAGGCCGCAAAAAAGTGATGGAGAATAATAATTATCAAGGTGATTTAGCTGATATATTCCGAGGTGGAAATAATACCACTTCCGGTGAGTCATCATCAACTAATAATACTGTTATTCCTATTCCTACTCTTATTTCTGACGGATGGCAGTTTCCTTATTCGGCTTCTCAAATTGAACAACCAACATCTGTTCAAGATTTTGGAGATCCGTTTTGTAACTTGAGAGATCCGCTCTTCCATGATCTTGATATGTTGCAGGCCGCAGCTAGTGAAGATAATATTATTAATAATAATAACAACAACGAGAGCACTAATAGTGTTTTCGGAGATTCGTCTCCTTCGATGAGAAAACGAGGTAATATGTTTTCAAGGATGCTTCAGATCTCTCCTACAAACAAGTTGGCTATGTCAGCGTGTGTTGTACAAAATAATGTTATTGGTAATCATGATGATATTAATTCATCTAAAACTTGCTTAATGGAAAACTCTGCCTTACAGATCTCATCTCCGAGAAATACGGGTATCAAAAGAAGGTGAGTAAATTCTTCTACATTACTATACTATACTATACACTTGAATTGAAAATTCGTATATTTTATGTAATACCATAAGACAACATGGTTGATGCCTAGTTTTAAGAGATTTTTATGAGAGTTGCATTTTTTTTATATGAACAAGGAGAAGAAAGATAGAAAACTAATTATGTACGCAAATAGTATATTAATTTAGCTTTTACTGAACTAATTCAACAATATAATTGAAGAAAAGTAAAAGATTATAATATTTGCATGAAATCCGGATGATATTTTTTTTTCAATCAAAGTAGACAGAATTACTTGTTCAGTCATAGACTTAACTTTCAACTTATTTATCTCTTTTTAATTTGTGGCCATCATTTTCAGCTTCTAAATGGAAAAGAAGTATTTTCCATGATTACTTCTTGTGAAAAAGCACAAGTAGAATAGAAAACAAAATAAATTGCAAATCGATCTTGGTTTATTTTCTTCCAAAATTTGACATGTTTAGGTCTCACGCACCTCACGCCTAACCCTTTAAAATTTTGAGTCAACGGTTGCCATGTTGTTGTTGAATTGAAAAGATAAGCTAAATAAAATTCATTATTAAAATTGCAGCAATAGATTGTGAATGATCGATTCAGGAACTTGACATAACATATAGATTCCAGTTAGCAGCAGTTTGACAATTAATGATAAAAACACTAATTAATGAAGGATTATGATACAATATTACACTAATTGTTGATATGGATCGGAGCTTGCACATGTGCTTACAAGTTCATGAGCAAAAATGAATAGCTATCATGTATGTGTTATTAAAAATTGGATTATCAGAATAAATAATTTATGTTTTTAACTTTGTTTTTGTAGAATTTAGAAGGGAAAAAAGTTTGAAATATCTTCGAACTTTGACTGAAATTGCTGTAACAATTCCAAATTTTGGGCAGAACCTTTTACCCCTCAACTATTTAATAGTGTATTTTAAAGGTATATATGTGCCCACGTGGACATGTTATGTATTAGGGTTTATTAATTTGCAGAAAGAGTCAGGCGAAAAAAGTGGTGTGTATACCAGCAGCAGCACCAGCAAACAGCCGGCAAGGGGGAGAAGTAGTTCCATCTGATTTATGGGCTTGGAGAAAGTATGGTCAGAAGCCAATCAAAGGCTCCCCTTACCCAAGGTCACTCACTCACTATATATTTTCTGCACTCCCAACCTTTTAACTACAACTTCTTCATGGAAAATTAATTAAGAGATACTATCTTCATGTGAAAAATTCAATTGTTATGCTCAAAAACATTTTGGACATAATACATTCATGTTGCACTTTAAATTTTGGCTTTAACTGATATTTAGGTGAGCACAAATAAACACTTATACTTGTACAAAGTTGAACAAGTAAACACACGTGTTCTTACGCATGAGACACATTCGAACTGATTTGTAGTACTCTATGTAAAACACGTGTATCTACTTATTTAGTTTTATATAAATTTTAATGTTTATTTGAGCACACCCAAAATGAAAGGATATAAATATGACAAATATTTACGTAAGTATACTTGTTCCCCTTCAAAATAGAAAATTGGACCAATTTACCGAGAAAACATAAAGTAGTACTAATATTTAACTTTTGCATTTTCATGTTGTTAAAATAAAATAATATGCAGGGGTTACTATAGGTGCAGTAGTTCCAAGGGATGTTCAGCAAGGAAACAAGTGGAAAGGAGCAGGACAGACCCAAACATGTTAGTGATCACCTACACTTCAGAACATAACCATCCATGGCCAACTCAAAGAAATGCCCTTGCTGGATCAACAAGGTCTCAGCCTAATAATTCCAAACACACCAACAATACTATTATACCAAATAATCCTCAATCCCAAACCGATACAGATGAACAAAAGGAGACCACCAATAACATTTCGGAGTACCCAAAAGTAAAAGAAGAGGTGGCTGAAGAAGATGTGCGCCATAATCACCAACTAGTGGAAATGCGCGATGATGAGGAGTTTTCTAAAGACAGTTATCAGCCAATAATGTTACCAGACTCATCAAACCAGTGTCATGAGGATTTCTTTGCAGATTTGATTGAACTCGAAGCTGACCCTCTAAACCTTTTGTTTGCCAAAACTCTCTCAGGAGATATCAATGAATTGGGACAGAAGAAGGACATCGAATCATTCAACATGTACGATTGGAGCAAAGACGGTAACACCACCACCAGCAACAACAACAACAATCCCGACACATAATAACAAGATTTCTACAAACGAAAAAACAATCAAATTAAATTCCGCTTGGTACATATGCTAAGTTTCTTAGGTGAGAATTAATTTTCTTCAAGCATCAGCCAAGTAAGGAGGGTTTAATTATCTCTTGGCCATAATTTTCCTTTTTTTTTTCTTTTTTTGGGTTGGTTGTTTTATTTGGTTCAATATTGCTACACACTGTACAAGTACTCTTTTGATAATCTTGTCTTCTGACACCAACAAGGGTTGTGGTAGAGTGGTAAGTACGCATTCATTCTTAACTAGGAGGTCTCAAATTCAAGTCTATTTGAATATAAAGTCGTTTTTGTTAGAAAGCGTTTTACTGCCATGTGAGATTTTCTGGAACGAGAATCCGAATTACCGAACACCGGATTGGAAACAAAAAAATCTTGTCTTCTGACTTAGTAGAACAGTGAAGAGATTAAATAAAAAAAAAGAGGGGGTAAAGGAGTGCTGGCTGATTGGGAGCAGGGCCCAGTGCCATTCCTTTTGGGAATATTAGTGGATGGGACAGAAAGGTGAGGAACAGAAGGTTTGAACAGTTAAAAGCTAACAAGTACATCCATCAGATCAGATATGACCAGATATAGCTCATAAAGACTCCCATTTTTTCAGTGGGAAAAATAATTGAACTCTTCACTCATTCTTTCTTACAGTTTATTTTATTTATTTAAAAAAAGAAGGGAAATTAGTGGAACTTAAACTCATATATTTTGACAAGACAAAAGAGTTTAAGGTGGTTTCTTCAAGATGTGCTGTCCAAATGCAAGCTTTTAGGTTCCTCAGCTTTCTGATTGTTAATTCCAATATTGTTACAATTATGTCTGGCTTGGCTATTGTATCATGTTTAAATTAAAAGGTCTTCCTTTTTCACTTTTACCTATCGATCAGTTCGATTCGATTTTAAAGTTCATCGATTTAACTTATTGGTTATTGATTTGTAGACATGCTAAACTATTAAGAACCATTAAGATATTGGTTTATGGATTACCGATTTATCGGTTATTGATCATTATCGATTTAACCGTTAAGATATGACACAAAAATAAATAATTGAAAATCATTTTAAAACATGGTGACAAACCAAATAAACTCCACACATAAGTTGATAGATTGTATCTTTCTCAAAAACAAAATTAACACATTGTGGAATAACCGAAAGTTTGAAATTGCTAGAAATAAAAATATGAAACTAAATCCTAAGTCAAGGACTTTATATATCAATGGTATAAATATAATTATTAATTTACTATCGGGTTATCGGTTAACCCGTTAAGAAAAAATCTCAAACCGTCAAAAATTGATAACTTGATAATAAAAAAAAAATCAAAACCGTTAAATCAATAAAAAAGTTTCAATTCGGATTATCGATTTCGGTTCGATTTTGAACGGCCCTATTTTACTGAAATGCATTTACAATAACTCTGGACATGTCTAGATTATCTGTTAATTATGGCCAATCTTACGCTTAATTCAAAAATTAAATGTCAAATCCATCGATAAATATTTAAAGTCAACATAATTTTTTATTTAGACACTTTAAATAAACTTGTAATTTTTTAATCACCCGTAATAACCCTTCACTATATTATTTGACACAATCTTCACATTCTCAGAATAATGTAAAGTATGTATTGGCAAGCGCTCTACGTGAAATAATGGTTGAATTCGTATTAACACATAAAATTGTTATATATATATAAGAAATCAATTTTTTTTAAACTTGTCTTTATCACCATATGATGACGTGACCATCGTATGATTATGGTCCTTATCTTGGCAAGTAGGACACTCGCTTTCCGGTGTGGGAATAATACAACTCCATGTTATAGCTCATATGATTTTTGATGATTAACGGTATCTCCCACAAACATTTATGATTTCCTAAAAAGCTTATGATTTATACCTATGTTATGATATGACTTAAGGAAGAATACATGACCTTGTATTATGTTTTATGGAAATATATGGTTAATTTTATGTTATGTTTACTTGGTCATTGCATTATCATGTTTTCAGACTTATCATGTTCTTATGTTATGATCATGCACCTTTTCCCATTCATAGTACGTTTCGAGTGTTGATCGCATACCTTATTGTGCCAATATTGTTTTATAATATAGGTATTGACGCTCCATATCAGGCTCGTAATTAGAACATAATCTTATCAGTGTTGCTCAATCTTGGTGAGTCCTCATGGTTTGAGGACATACAACTTATGTTACTTTCATGTCATTTAGTATTTACTTCAGTTCCAGATGTTAGAGTGAGCTAGGGATTGTCCTAGCGACTCATTTATGTAGTATATGCTTGTTGTCAGATACAGTACTTCTACATTATGGTTTTTGTACTCTAATTCAGTATTATATTGAGACTATCTTTTGAGACTATGATTCCGCTTCTCTCTTTATTTCAGTTATGTTGATTATCTTAGTGTCATGCTATGTCAGGTGGTTTGCTTGGGGTCTCTCGAGAATCTAGGTATTATTTCATGTCTAGGGGTAGTCTTAGGTCGTGAAAATTTGGTATCTAGAACTTCAAGTTTAAGTGTCTTAGGGTGTCTAACAAGTCACATTTAGTATAGTCTTGTTCAAGAGTGTGAAGCGCACCAAATTTATAAATAGGAGTCTATGAGATGTTTAAGAAACTTCACTTCTTTAAATACTCCTAAGTAGTGTAATAGATCTGAACTCTATAAGGTTTCTTTCTAACTCATATTCTATGTGTTTTAGAACGATGCCTCAAAGAAGAGCTCTGCTGAGAAGGAGCTTGAATGTGGAACAAGAAGCTCCACAAGCTCTAGTTGATCCTTTGGGCTAGAGATTCACTCATGCTGAGTTTAGGGACGCTTTCCAAGTGCTTGCCCAAGCCATCATTGCTCAAGCTAACAGTGAGGTTATAGCTCCCGTGAACCCAAATGTGGGTACGACGGCGACTAAGGTTCGAGACTTCACAAGGATGAATCCTCTAAAATCCCATATAGCTCTAAGGTAGATGAGTACCCATAAGAGTTTATTGAGGGGATTCAAAAGATTCTTGAGATTATGAGTGTTACTCCAGCTAAGAGTGTAGACTGGGGTGCTCACTAATTAAAAGGTGTTTCTCAAATTTGGTTCAAGCAATGGAAGGAAGAAAGGATTGTTTAAGTGGGTCATTTGGATAGGGTCAAGTTTAAATGTGCTTTTATAGATCGATTCTTCCCTTTTGAGATGAAAGAGGTCAAGGTACAAGAGTTCATTAACTTGAGGCAAGGTAATATAAGTGTGAGAGAGTATTTCTTGACATTCACTCAACTCTCCAAGTATGCTCCGACTATGGTGGTCGACTCTAGGGCCCGTATGAGCAAGTTTGTTTCCCGTGTCTCAGAGATGGTCATGAAAGAGTGTAGAACTTCCATATTTATCAAGGAGATGAATATTTCTAGGTTGATGACTCATGCTCAAGAGATTGAGGTAGAGAAGCTTAAGAAGAGTGCTACGGAGTTTAGGAGGCCTCAGACCGACAATGTTGACTACTCTCATCAGAGATCTGATGGTGGTGGTCGTTATCAGTTCAAGCAAAGGCCTGGTTCCATCTTCTAGTGATTTATTGGCTAAGTTCAACAAGGATAGGGTGCCCAGCCCTAAGTCTCACAGTAATACTTCTAGAGGACATTCATTCCCTACATGTGAGAAGTGTCGAAAGGTCATTCGAGAGATTTCTTAGTTGGTTTTGGTGCATACTTTTGATGTGGTAAAACTGGTCATAATTTGAGGGATTCCCCTTCGACTGTTAGCAAGGATCGAGATGGTTGTCGAAAGACTCAACCTAGTTTTCTTCAGGTCGCTCAACTTAACACGATACTTCATATAGTTATGGGGGCGGACAGAGTCAGAACATGTTTTATGCTCTTTAGACTTGATAAGAGGTTTCCTCTAATGTGGTCATTGGTATGTTACAAGTTTTTCAGAATGATGTTTATGCCTTGTTAGAGCCAGGAGCAGCACATTCCTTCGTGACTCTTTATGTTGCTATGAAGTTTGATATCAGTCCTGAAATTCTATTAGAACCTTTCTGAGTCTCTACTCATGTTGGTGAATCAGCTTTGGCTAAATGAGTTTTTAGAATTTACCCGATCTCAATTTTTTGAAAAATCACCTCAGTTGATCTAGTAGGGTTAGACATGTTGAATTTCGATGTTATTCTTGGTATGGATCGACCTCATACTTGTTATGTCTTTATTTACCGTAGAACCTGAGTTGTTAGGTTCTAATTTCCGATTGAACCAGTTATAGAGTGGAAAGGCAGTAATTTAGTGCCTCTGGGTTAGTTTATTTCATGCCTTAAAGCAAGAAAGTTAATTTCTAAGAGTTAAATCTATCACCTAGTACAGGTTAGGAATATAGATTGTGCAACCCCTGTTTTTGAGTCAGTTCTCATTGTGAATGCATTTTTGAAAGTGTTTCCAAATAATCTTTCTAGAGTTCCTCCCATAAGGGAAATTAACTTTGAAATTGACCTTCTTCAGATACCAGCCTATCTCTATTCCTCTTTACAGAATGGCTCCAGCAGAACTTAAGGAGTTGAAGGATCAGTTAAAGGACTTCTTGATAAGAGCTTCACTAGACTTAGTAATTCTCCATGGGGTGCTATAGTTCTCTTTGTTCGAAAGAAAGATGGTTCTCTCAGAATGTGCATTGATTATCGATAGTTGAAAAAGGTCACAATAAAGAATAAGTACTACATCTCAAGGATTGATGACTTCTTCGATTAGCTTAGGGTGCTAACTCTTTCTCCAAGACTGACCTCCGATCAGGTTATCATCAGCTTAGAGTGAGAGAATGGGACATTCTGAAGACAACCTTCAGGACTCGGTATGGTCACTATGAATTTGTAGTTATGTATTTTGGACTAACAAATACTTTCATAATAGGGAAGCTCAGTCCCTGTTATGTAGAAACATATCTGATTTTGAGGTGTTTCGATGAGGTAGTTTATGAGTTGGATTTGCCTTCAGATTTGGCATCGGTGTATCAATGTTTTATGTTTCCTTGTTGAAGAAGTGTACTGGGGATCTGACTTCACTAATGCGATTAGAGAGTTTGGGTGTGAAAGAAGGTTTCTCTTATAAAGA